GCGCTAATGGCAGAGATAAATGAAACACTGCCTCCGGATCAAGTTAATAGATTGGTGCTCCCGAAGGCAAAGTTCAAGTCATGTAAATCTGCTGTGCTAGAGTGCCAAGGCATTTTATTACAGTTCCTGAAGAAAAATAATCTCGCAAGCCTAACGCTTCATTCTGAACTCTGTGATAACTCAGCGCTTGAGACTATTTCTACTTTGTCACTGCAAGAACTTGATATTGGTAGCAGTTCAGTTACAGAAGAAGGTATAATCAGCAAGTTGTGTGGCTTGCCATTTAAAACAGGTAGTGAAGTAGTTGAGGCTCTTAGAGATTATCGGTTTTCATATTCATCAACACACCTCAGTAAGTATCTACGGAGACTTAGTATGTCATTTCAGAACATCTCATCTACAGTCTATCATCTCATCTTGGTACTATTTCCTGAGTTGCTTTTTTACAATCCTCACAAGGACATCAAATCATGCATCCGCGAATATGCAAGACTTGGGTTATCACTGGAAAAAGAACCTGCTAGCACAGTTGCAAGAAACCTTAAGTTGCAGAAGATTTCCTTAGGTAATGCCACGAAGTCTGAAATTCTGGAAGTTAGTAGGCTTTGTCCATCTACAAGAGAAATATCACTGAATGTTGAACTGAACGCCGAGGAGATCCTTAGTGCATTAGAATCCTTTTCTCAGTTGACAGACTTTACACTAAGTTACTATCCATCTTTTGCTTCTTCACCTCCTAAACTCAATGGGTCTGTTCTACAGCCACTTCTCTTGATGTACAAAAACCAGATCAATGCTCTCAGTCTTACAGGCTTTAACATATCAGACAAATGCCTGCACAAACTTTCTCAGTTACCTGAACTGAAGTTTTTGACAATGGCAGATTGTTGGCTGTCAAATCCAAAGTGTCCTTCTCCAGACCCATTTTCCAGTTTGGAAAAGCTGAGTCTGCAGTTTCTGCCACCTGATTCTACATTGCATCTTCTCACATCTGGTAAAAAATTACATAGCCTTAGTTTAGACTTTGTTGCTTCAGAATGGGAAGGCAGTGCTCTCTCTGACACCCATGTAAAGCAGCTTGTGACCTCTGGAAAGCTAAATGCATTACAGTCTTTCACTGTTGCTTCACCCTATCTGACTTTGGCCTCTGTTAAGAGTCTGACACTCCTTCCGTCCCTTAGGAGTGTGGGCCATCTTGCTCGCTGGGGACTCACTGAAGAGGAACTCCATTGCATTAATCACTCTGGACCTCCTCATCTTATCTGCATGCAATAATGTGTTTGGGGGTAAATTATTCCCTTACCATGTTTAGGATAATCCTATTGAAAGGATGATTAACTTTCCTGTGATATATATGAGTATACATAAGTAAGAGACAATACCCCATATGATATATCAGGGTAGATTTAATGTTAACTCATTACATTTAAATCATGCTATTTTTCTCATATTACGCACAAACACATATTTTCCATATCATTCTAGTGTTTCATGCTTCACAAGCCACTGCATACAAACAGTTTACAAGAATTTTGGTCTTCCCCTACACTCTTGCTACTACTATGGTAAACATATGCTGAGTTACAGTTGCAATTTTAACTTCAATTCATTATTAAAGTAGTGCAACCATATGTGATAACTTTTTTCTGCCGAGGCAATAAAAAAATTCTTTACTAATATGGTATTGTTAAGATTATGTTGCAGTTACATGATACTTGTGTTAATTTTAAGTTTATCTTTGGCAACAGACAGGTGAATGAATACCTGACCAACTAGAATAAGCATGTTACTGATGTGATATCAATGTAATGTGATTTTTGTTTTTTATTTTTCCAAAAGACGTCTTGCAAACAATCTACGTTCAATGCAGTCATTACACTTTTACATTTGCTTATTTGTTATTTTATGAAGTACTTAGAAGGATGAGTATGAGCTATATCCACATAAATATCATTGGACTTAAAATATACATTACCTTGAATTATGAATGTTTGAAGAAAGTTAAGTAAAAGGCAAAAACTACATTAAGATATTATCTAATGTATATTTTGAGTTGCAAGTGATTATGTAAAAATATATTATTGCAGATTTGAAGCATAAAGAAAACAAACAAAAAATGTTTAGCATCATAGGGCAAGTACAAACTGGTCATGCTGCATAACTTCTCAATTACTTTCACAAACAAAATAGTATTAGTAATTAAAATATCGTACATTTTACATCTGGAGTTACAGTACATTCCAGGATTAAATTAGTTTTCTCTCTCTTTCTTTCTATCTCTCTACCTCCCCCCCCTCTCCTCTCTCCCCCCCCTCTCCCTCTCTGTCCTTCCGCTCTCTCCCTCTCTGTCTCTCCCTCTCTCCCCCTCCTCTCTCTCTCTCTTCCCCCTCTCTCTCTCTCTCTCTCCTCTCTCTCTCCTCTCTCTCTCTCTCTCTCTTCTGTCTCTCTCTCTCTCTCTCTCTCTCTCTCTCTCTCTCTCTCTCTCTCTCTCTCTCTCTCT